TCAATTAGACGATAGTTAATATTCATATATTTGAAAKGAGTGTGCATATACTGACATACATTTCATAGGAAGAGGATTTTCACTAACTCCAGAAATATATCACTGATCACACAAAATAAAACATACTTTTGCAATGTCCTCAAATAGGTCTCTAAAATATGAAGCTCTCTCTTTACTACACCCTTTACTTCCCTGACGAGCACATTCTCTCCAGAACTGAAATTCATCTGTTGGTGTAAGTATAGCTGCAAATAAAACAGAAATATTAATATATAAAATAAATAAATGTTTATAAAATATGTTCAGTCAGAATATACTTTCTAAACCAAAGTTTTACTATGCGGTTATGTAAATATCTTTTAACTTCTGATCATAACTACATGTAGTGTAAAAGTCAACTATGGTCTTCTGATATGACTGTCACTAATTCTGGTCTACKAACAATAACCAGTTATATTTCACACTGTGCAATCACTGGGAAGCCTAAACACTCAACTTGTAAATAAATTATTTACTCCAAATTCAAAATWAACTATAAAAGATGTAATTGCAAAACAAACCTCGCACATCATCTTCACTGAATTTTGTTCCTGCGTAACTGGGATCTGATCTTCTGAGAGCAGTACTCAAGCCAGCTTCAAGCTCACTTAAAAGTTTCTGGAGTTTGGGATCAAATGCTTTACTCCACTTCTCATCCTATAATGAAAATTTCAAAAATTGTACTCCATGACAGAGCAATTAGTATTTCCTTCTCAGATTAAATATCAACCAGAGGGTGGGACAATGTAGCATTTTTTTTCCTGAAGTCAAGAAAGAGCAACTCATTCTTCTCATTTAACAATTCAGAATCATGATATAAAAACTTTTTTATCATAAACGCAAAGGTCAGCTGTTGGGTTTACAAAGGCATTCTGAAAATGTGWGAGCTGTTTTCCACATTAACTACCATTGTCAAGTGTATTCCGTATTTCCAGTCAGATATATATATGACCAGAATCTTCCTCTCACCTTTACTGACAGGAGGTTTCTTTAACTTAGAAATTATAACTAACACTCATTGCTTAGTCTCCTCAGATATTTTTATTTCATCACATAAAATATCTAGCTCAGAATTAGTTAGCACCCTATTGAATTTGAATGTCTCGATATAAATCCACAAAACATTTAAACWGGTATATTGCTCACCTTCAGTAATACTGGTGCAAAAACTTGTCGTACAGCTTGATAAAGGGTGTTGATCGGTGAATCTAGCATAGATGACACAAGAATATTGCTATGAAGATTATCTTCTGTAATTACATCAGGTCTCAGCTTAAAGAACACCAACACGTTATTCTTTGAATCAGTAGCTTCAATCTGCAATAACCAAGACGACAGGATTTGTTTAGAAGCTGTTACGGATTGCATATTACACTAACTTACATACACCTCTTGCACAAACAATTTGCATAAAGAAAAAAAAMTAAAATACCATATTACTCCCTCTGGGCTCTGATAAAATTCTGGTAGTATCTGATTTGCAAAGAAAAYGAAAATTTTATTATACTGATTTCTGAGTCCATAGGAACCTGAGTTCCAGCATCAAATACATAAAGCCTTTTACAGCATATATGTCTGTAAATACCATAGTTTCTTACKATATTTTTAAAACTCTGTTTACCACTTTCTCYGGACAAAAAAAGAAACACTGTCTTATGTCTAGAGTAAACTAAGTATGAAGCCTATTTYGTTTTGTATTTTTATGCTACATACATTTGGGAATATTTTTCTATATATTCTAAATATTCAGTATTGTTTTCCTGAGTTTGCAAATACATAACASTATTCATAGATTTCTCAAAGACACAGAAAGGCATGCTCCTTCATCAGTAAATCATAAATTGTAACATGACTCATGTTCCCTCCACACTCCAACTTATGGGTAAAGTCCCAAAAATTGCCATAAAAATCAATTCATCAAATTATTTTTGGCAGAATTCATAAAACAGGAAAATGTAATTAAACATTCAATAACTGATAGTAAAAGATACGCTAACTGAAATCCCAAATTCTGAACAAATGTAAACATCTGTGTACTATTTTTCTGTTAAAAGTAACAAAGGGTAGTAAGAACAGCTTTCAGTTGTATTGRGCAGTATCAGTTTTACTTTCTTTATTCATCTTTAGACCAAAACCTACAAATACAGCTTCACTGAGACAACAGGCACACAGTATAGCACCAATATGCATCTTATCTTCCACAGCTGCTGAATGCTGCTTTGTGTTCTAGACAGTGGCTCAGCAGCACCCCTGAAAACTGATACACATAAATGTTCATTTTTGCCTGAACAGAGAATGGACTAGACTTCACAGATTAGCAAGGACACACGCAAGTTACTTGTCCACACTTCACATGTTAAGGACTCTTAACATGTACCTTCTGTGTGTGAAGCCACTGATATAACAAGCACCACGTCCCTGTTCTCACTGCAGAACCCATGTCAGGGTACAAGTGTACCTTGCCTGTACACTCTGTGTGGCTGGCACCCCACCATGCCCTCCTTACATGGTGACACTGAGTGCACATCACAGCCCATGGTATCCCTTGGAGAAGTCACTTGGTGAACACAAACACTCAAGGCAGGACATTTCACACAATGAASCTCAGATTTGCTCACAGCTGGACACATCAATTTGAAAAATGTAAGCTTTGGACAAACACCCACCTTGGATTTGTCAAATTTCAGCCAATGTACTACACAGTGGGTGCCATTCCCTGTAGACAATTGCCCAAGCAATCCTTCTGGTCACTTGCATGCAATCATGCTCAGGAAGAAATCACACATCCAACTCTACATTTGCAGCAAGGTAATGTGCCATCCCACAGGCTGCATTATGCTCACATAGAGACAATATACAGCACACTAAAACTGCACCAACATGGGCACAGTCCACCAATGAATGTATCATCAGCTGACTAATATGGTCTCCACAGACTCTGAGGTCAGTTTTCTTGTTTCAGCTAGAATGATAGAGTTAGTTATCTTTTTAATAGCTGGTACARTGCTGCATTTGGGGTTTTGTATGAGAATAATSTTAATAAYACASTGATGTATTGGTTGTCACCGAGTAATAATTACATAAAGTTAAGGATTTTTCAGTGCTTCTTGATCTGCCAGTGAGGAGGGGCACAAAAWGCTGGGAGGGAGCATGGCCAGGACAGGTGACCCGATGCCAGAGCATCCAYACCATAGAGCTTCATKCTCYGTGTATAAACTGGGGGGAGTTGSCCGGGATCGCTAYTGGGGGACAGACTGGGCATTAGTCAGCGGGTGCTGAACAACTGCATTGTGCATCACTTGTCTCTTTTGGGTTTTGTTCCTCTYTCTCACCCTTTTTCATTACAATCATTAACATTATTATTAGTCTGTTAGTAGTAAGCGATTATAATATTTTATTTCGTTTCAGTTATTAAATTGTTCTTGTCTCMACCCACGGCGTTCTTTCCGATTCTTCTCCCCACGGTGGGGTGGGTGGACAGTGAGTGGTACTTAGCTGCCAGCTGGGGTTGAACCACGGCAGCCGCCAGTACCTTACAGCAGACAGAGACCTTCAGAGATATTCGCAGGAGGGAGATGTCTCCCAAATCTGGCACCAATCTTCACGGCCACTAAGCCCGGGCTGACTCCTGGCTCCGCATTCCCGCTCGCACGCCGGGATGCGGCGGACACGCGGGACCCGCAAGCGGCGGACACTACGGTACCTTGTTGGAGGCGCTGAGCTGCGCGCCCGAGTGCTGCACCACGAGCAGGAACTCATTGCCGTCGTCCAGAAAGCGGCTCAGCTCCGGACGGGAATGCAGCCCCGCGGCCAGAGCAGCGGCACCGCCCGCAGGGTCCAGCCCGAAGTAGTTGGCAGCCGTAGCTGAAATAAAGCGYTTCCTCCTGTCTCCCTCCCCGGCCATGGGTGGCGGCACGCACCCCGTCAGGCAGGATCACGGCGGGGACGGATGCAGAGCCTCACGGGAGCACATGCAGGCGCTGGAGGGAGAAGACCCAAAGGGCTCACGGCGGGAAGGACGGCGGCTCGCTCCGGAGCACAGCGGGAGAGGCCCGGAGCCCGCMCGGCGTCCCCGCGTCGCCGGGACCCGTCACTATGGTGACCGGAGATGGCGGCCGTGGCGCGCAGGCGGRCTAGGTCCTGTGGCGCCGGGCAATCTGGGGAAGGAGGCGGCGGTCGACGCGCTCGGCAATCGGCGGAACGGGGCGGAGCGGAGCGGAGGAGGTGCCCCGCTCTCCCCGGCGCGGTAGTGGCGCACGGCAGTCACCTGGGCTCGACCGGCCTGGTGTGCTGCCAGGCTTGCCCTGGATTCACCGAAGCATCTCTCCTGCCATCAGCTGCGTCACGGTATCACGGCTGCAGTACTTGGGGTGTTTCCCTCGCCCCCACCCCACTCCGCTAGCGATCGTTTCCGCAAGGGAGCCGTGGTGCCCGATCCCGCAAAACGGAGGACTGCGGGCCCGGCCCCGGGGAGCGCTGGGCGAGTGCTCAGACCGCCCACCAGGAATACAGGCTTGTGGCTGCTCGTGCTTTCCCGGGTCAGTGCGGGTGTAGCGACCCCCGCCCCTCTCAGCGGTCCCGGCCGCTTCTCCAGAGTGTCTCCGAAGGGACAGAGCGCCTTCGGTCCGCCCAGCAGCCGCCGCTGAGCCCAGCCACCGGCCGCGCCTCTCGGCAGGCGGCTGCTGCAGCTCCACRCCCGCCTCCAGCACTGACGGGACACGCCCGGCAGCTCCCGCCCAGGTGCGGGCTGTGACCTCGCGGGTTCGAGGGGACTGCAAGGGTTGGCGCTTCCCCGTTTATTTCACCGGAACGCTGAGAMATAACCGGCACCCCGGCGCCCGCCCGGCCACGCGGCTCCCGCTCCTGCCGGGAAGCGCGCGGCGGCCCCGCCCTCCCGGGGGCGGATCCCGGTACGGCCCCGCCCCGGCGGCGCTGCCACTTCCTGCCCGGCTCCGTCTGTGTCCGGGTCGTTCTCGCCGTTCTCTCCGCAGCCGATACCGCCCGCGCTCGCTCCCGCCCCCGGCGCGACACCCGCTTCTGCGAACGGGGCGGCGGCGGTGGCGTCTGTGCGCGGGGAGCGGCAGCGCCCGGTGGGACTGGGGAGGAGTAGCAGCAGCAGCAGCAGGGCGGAACGGGGGCTCCTCTCGTCTCCTCACCGCCGGTCTCGGCAGGCGGCGGCGGCGGCCGGGAGAAGCGAGCCCGTGGGGGCCTCGGCTGCGGGCCCCGGCAGCGGGGCGGCCCCGCCCCGAGGCAGGACGATGCCGGTAAAGAAGAAGAGGAAGTCCTCGGGGGCGGCGGCGGCGGACGACACCGGCCTCAAGAAATGTAAACTCGGCAGGTACCGTCTCGCGGGGCGGCGGCYGGTGCCGGCGGTCAGGTCCCGGGCCTCAGCCGCGGGGTCGGGCCGCTCCTCCGCTGGCCCCGGGCTKCGGCAGCCGTGGGGCTTCCCGGCCTGGCGGGTGAGGTGAGGCCGTGTGCGGCCCGGCGGGCCCGGCTCGGCCGTGCSGGGGGACACGTCCCGGTGCAGGTGCGGGGCTCGCTGCGCCGGCCTCAGCGGCGGCGTGTTCACGCCTCGGGGAGAAACGCCTCCCACTCCCAGGTGGCTTTGCCTTTGGCAGTACCTATAGGGCCAATTCTGGCATTTGTCCCCGTATTCGTTCTGTCTCCCCGGGGGTAGGCGGCTGTCCTCACTTTAAGGTTGCCAGTGTTCCGGGTGTCTGTGCTAAATCGTCCTTTTTTTTTTTTTTTTTTTTTTTTTTTTTTTTTTTTTTTTTTTTTTTTTTTTTTTTTTCTTTTTTTTTTCAGTGAATTGGAAGGATTGGTCAGCACATTGGAAAACAAGAGCAGGAAAGGTTTCTCTAATAAATACAGGAGTCTGAAGCATCTTGCCCATTAAGTACTTTAAAAAGACCACTTTCTGCCGTGATATCCAAAAGTTGCTGTTAATGCTAAGCCATTAGTGCGGTGCAGCAGGAGTTTACAGTGTSGCTTCCCTGAAGTAACTGTCTGCCTGCTTCATCTAATAGCCCTTGTTAAGTATGTCAGTAAAGCAGTAGTTATGATTAACGTCCTGAGGACATGAGGATACAAAGGACTTACGAAATCAACACTACAGGAATGGCTGTTGCAAGAAATTGTAGCATATGGCCTTTCTCATAGGCTGGCTGAGCTTGAGCTTAGAAGCTCTTATTTTGTTATAGCTGTTCATTTTGGGTAACTATTCCAAAGCTCACTTTCATTGGTTATTGATGACCTTTAACTTTCAGTCAGCTTATTCATTGCCGATAAATAAATGTTCTTGTGCCAGAACATTACTCCCTCATGGTTCTACCTCCAAGTATACTTAAAGAAAAYACTTCTGTTTTCTCAKGCTTTATTTTGTTCACTTAAACAAGCTAAATTATTCTGGTTTATTATAACAACTTTCAGTTTCCTTGCTCATCTTAGCTTTTCTGCACRTGTTCAGTTTCAGTTTGTCTTTCTGGAACACTATTAACCCAGATTTTGTGGTCTTAATTTCTTTTACTTAAAGTATTTTGATAGCTAAAAGAATTTTTTAAAGAGCACCCAAAAAACTCKTTAAAACCGTATTCTACAGGGAACTAAAACTATGGGCAAAAACTATGATGTGAGAGTTGTTACTAGGTGATCACATTATGACAAGCATTTTTGTCATTACCAGCAAATTGCTGTGTAAGACCATAATACGCTTTAGTAAAAACAGTGATTGCAAATAGATCTATGTTAATCTTGATAAAGCCAATAGGCAGTAGCACACCTTATGACTCTGCCTCTTTCTGGAGACTTGAGTTCCTAATGCCAGTTGGATGGAAGAGTGGATGTTTGTAGGGCACCTTTAATTCTACCTTTCAGCACAGAAGGCTTCATCTTGGAGTGTTGCTTTCTGTTCCAGAGAAGCTAAAAGCCATACATGGGAGTTAAAGTTGTTCACCCCTCTCAGAATTGAACTGTTCTTCTCCTGCTTGACGTTTTAATTTTAAAATTGCAATGTGGGAGCTGCATAATTTTAAATCCCCTCATATGATTAACTCTCACCTCATTGTTAGAAATAATCTTAGCTTGCTCTATAAGTCTGTAATTTGTGTTTGAAAAGAGTGTGCACTGGAAAGGTGCTGCAATTCCTTACTGACTGAAGACGCCTTTGTGCAATCGATGTTTTAACRGGAAGAAATTCTATGCATTCTTTTAATGAATGATGAATTATGAAAATTCATTTCCTAGGCAAACTGGGTCGTGTGTTACATAATGAAGACAATGGTGGGGGGAAGCTGTGTGTGCTGAGCAGCTTCAGTCTTACCACAGATTGCATGCTGCTATTCTGGTATATGTACCAAATATCTATAGAGTTTGCAGATACTTAGTTATATGTATCATGTCAACAAATTGACTGAGTTTTTTTCCCAAATTTGGATGGCTAACTATAAATAGCCTGACTTTTAAATATGTCAAACTCTGCAGCTCCTGTTGACCTCAATGGGATCTGTGCATATTCAGCACTCTGGAAGATCATGCTGCTTATTAGAGACATAACTTTAAATGCCTGCATATATAAATATAAGTAGATAATAAGGCATTTGAATTACTGAGAAGTGATATTTTGGCCATCTGTGGGTTTTTTTTTTTGTTTAATATCTGCAAGATAAACAGTACTTTTACATTTCAGAAAAAGTAATACTTGCAGTAAATTGGGCTATGAGRTGGTTCGATCTTAAGGTAGTTTTATGTTCCAACAAGGGTTGAGAATGACAGAGTGTTGCCCATTATGCAATTTACATAACTCTAGATGTATATTGATTTTGTGAAGCAATTTAAGTGGATTAAACTAATAATAAATATTTTGTAATTTAATTTTTCCTTTTTTTATGTCTCATTAAAATAACACTGTTCATCCTTGTGTTTCTATATGCTACTGCAGATCACAAGCATCTGGTAAAGTAATAAGTGGAGAGGAACATTTTTCAAGTAAAAAGTGCCTGGCTTGGTTTTATGAATATGCAGGTAATATGCAATGGATTCATGTTTAAAACTATATGGTTTTGTTTTAAATAAAACAATACATCAGATTCTATTTGCATTTTGCTTTTTTTTTTATGGTGATGTAGACATAAAAATATGTCCATATTTGCTTCCTTAGAATATGCACTTGAAGTAGAATAGCTTTTATTAATACCTTCTTGGTATTTGTTCTTTTTTACTTATTTTTCTTTACTCTATGCTTTATAACTTTAAAATGAAATAACTGATGTTGAGCAGTATAGTGTTGAACCAGGATATACTTAGTGATTCTGCTACTGTCAAGTAGAATTCAGGACACTTAAGGATAATTCAAGAGTGAAGCTTATTTATCTGTGTCTTTCTTATGATCATTTTGGAAGGCTAATGATATAGATCATGATATAAGCTTCTCGTGTTTCTGTTTTACAAAACAAAATAATAGATACTTATACTGTTTCTCCCATCTGAGAATTTGTACTAACACTTTTGATATGCTAAATAGCAAATGTCTCTTTCCAAAAGTATTTGAAGTAGATTCTTTCAAATAACTCAGAGCTGCTATTGCAGTAAYAGCTGCTTTCAGTGAATATGCTGTGTATTTGGCAGAATTTATTGCATTATTGCTGCTACTTATTTACCAAAAACAGCATTTCTAAATCAATTTCTTGTCTATAATCAATTTCAAGTCACYACTTGGTGAGTAAAACTCATTAATGGCCAGTTTTTAGTATGAAACGAGCTGTTGATTTATCTGCTAGCAATTGGTTTGAGTATATTTGTCAGGACTGATATTTTCTTTGCAGTCTTTTCACAGCAATGAACTACTATTGTTTATACTGATCTGCTTTCTACTTTAGGTTTGAGGCATACTCTTTTGGAGTAGGGTCTTTTCTAGGGAAATAATAAATGAAAGTAAATTTTCTTGTGGTAAATGTGCTTGCACATACTTTAAACTTAATGTCTGTATTTTTTTTCTTTATTGTTGTGTCAAGAATTGAATGTAGCAGGTTAGACTTTGTTAGTTAACCAGCAATCAAAAAATGTCACGTTTCTAGCACAAGGATAGAATTCCAGTTAAGTTATGTACAATAGGAGATAAAATGTTTCTRTTGAAAGATAAAACTGTACACACACACATATATGTGTGCATGAGTTTATATATTATTTCTGGACCACAAACACTGATTCAAGCTTTTACTTGTCATTACCAGTGAATCTCTTGTATGTGTTTCTCTTCATTGCTTTTTTTTTCCTAGCACTGTTTTGCCTTGCTCACCTAGGCAAAATGTCCCTTGCCTTATTTTTCAAGAGRCAGGGGCTTGTGATCTTAAATGTCAGTTGCATTTTATTTTCCTGTAAAAGTAGCCATTCTCAGTGGTTTTTATTGACAATGTTCTTGTATCACAGGGAGTAGTTATTCAAAGCACATTATCCAAATTCTTGAAGAGGCTTCTGCTTACACTAGCAGCAGATAAAATGGAGACAGGTATCATCAAGRACTCTGCCTATTATAAGTAGCAAAACTTGCCAAAATGTTGTAAAATGGCATGTTGTTTTGGAAGATAAAACCTTTGTCTTTTACATGAGTTCATACTCACWAAATGTTAACATAATGATCCAAGACACATCAAAATACTGTGTCAGCCTTTTAATAATATTTGGCTGCCCAGTAGGAGTCATTTTTGGRACAGGCTTAGTCGAAATAACTGAAACCAGAAAGAGATTTAGAGGAACAAAATTATGTCTAATATGTCTGTATGGACTCTTCAAATGCAGTATTTTGCTGCATTTTAGAGATTTTTTGTGTTAAAATGGAGAAATGACGGCATAACGCTAACTGTTGTGGTGCTAATCAAGTTGCTTTCATTGCAGCACTGAATCTTTTTCTGCTTAGTACATGTCTAACATGCTTTGCATTTCTTCTGTTTATTGTTATAATTTTGTTTATATTACTCTGCATCTTGAAACTAATCTTACATTATTTGCATTCACCCTCTGCTGTGTTAGTATAAACCCATAACRTTAGCATCATCAAAAGAATAGTATCTGTAATAATTGCTCAGGCAATTAAATTTTTTTATTGTTGGTAATTTATTTTTCCAAATAACATTATTCATAAAGTAGCTTCAGCAGAGAGTAGCAGTACCCAAATTATCTTAAAACAATTGACTGCCACAGTTATTGGAGTTGAACTACTATACTATAGTTGAACTACTTCAATAGGAAGCTCAACGGAGTCTTTTGAAAACTCAGATCCAAAACTAAAATGGCTTGCTTGCTGTTGTAGGGAGGCAGTACATCACAAACATTCCGGCATCGTACGTAACATACACGTCTGCACAATTGCTCTTGATAGAATAGTTCTAGCATAAAAGCTACTAAATAGTGTAATTCGRTGTTTTTAAAAATACCTTGGGTGCAATATAGCCTTATTATTGTGCATAACCCTTGTGAGCAGTGAATGTTAGATTTCAGTCTGGTGTGTTTTTTGCTTTGAAGGTCCTGATGAAGTTGTAGGCCCTGAAGGAATGGAAAAATTCTGTGAAGACATCGGTGTTGAACCTGAAAATGTAAGTTTCTTTCATAATGACAACMCCACGTAAGAGCATATTAGATGAGATTAAGTTCTGTGTGAAATTCTTAACTCCACTAAGCAATAAGTGTTTAATCTTCCTGCTTATAGGACCTACTCTAAGATATTGCAGCTGCATAATATATCAATTATACTTGGCTGGTGTGTGAGGTTTTTTGAGGGGATTTTATTATAGTAATACTTCATTTTCAGAAATTGAAATTAAGGGGAAAATTGCATGTGGCTGAATTATTTAATGGTAACAGATATGAAGTGTAGGCATRTACCATAATTGCTAGAATGTTTGAATGCTTTAGAGTTTTATTCTTGAATATTAGTAAATCAGCCTTTTCTTGCATACTGACTCCTTTTCCTCCCTTGTTTTTGTTTTTTGCTCCCCCTAGATTATTATGTTAGTTTTAGCCTGGAAACTAGAGGCTGAAAGCATGGGATTTTTTACCAAGGAAGAATGGTTAAAAGGAATGACCTCGTTACAGTAAGAGTGTTTTTACATATACTAGCAGAATGTTCTAATTTTATGGTTTTGCCTATAGCTTAACTGTTCGTGCTCTCAGTTTCTGTATGTTGGAATAAGACTCAGAAAAAGCTTGCCCTTAGGTCTGGTCTTGGTCCACAACTGCGAAATGAATCTGATGGATTCACTCAAAGGATTAAGTTACTGTTTAAACCTAATTAAGTCAGGTTTTGGTGGCTTCCCTTTCTTACAAAAATAGGTTACAGTATCATTCTAGTTAGTGGACTCAAGTAGATCTGGAGATGCACATAAGTATGTCTCAGCATTGATACTCTGGAAAGATTTTACTGATTTCTGAGCTTTATAGATAAGGACTGCATGGATAGTAATTTTGTSTATTAGTGTTATTTATTAGATGCATGTCAGAAGCCATGCTTAATACTTAAGTTAAAGAACACCTTTTCARTTTATAAACCAACTTCTAACCCTTTCTGTTTGTATTTGAAGTTTTGGTGAGCTAATGCCCTGCTAAAAGAGGTTGTTTCTTACATTAAGCTAATCAGCCTTTTGTGGGGCTTAACACAGTTTTTACTTTTTCTTTGTTCTTCATGTAACTACTTATGGTACCTGAGTGTTTTTTAAGGATGGCTTATTATGACACTGCATTCAATATTAAAATGTCGTGGAGCTGCTATTGCAGCTAGAGCACAGTGGGAAAGAGGGGTTGATTTTATTCTTGTCCTGTCAGCTGTGAATTGGTTTGGGAAATTGTATCGGGCAGATACCCTCCAGTTACTCWAAACTATGGAGTCACTGACTCTGGACTGACTCTGTTAACTCTTAATTGTTTTGGGATGAGGCTTAATGGATGCCTTGATTATTTTGTGAYTATCAGCAGAAATTAAATTGAGAGCTGGAATGATTAAATTGCCTGAAATTCAGGATGACAGAGATTAAATTCTGGGTGTGTGATTTTTCAGATACAGTGAGTGGATAGTGGTCACTTACCTAGCATACTTAAATTTTTATGCCCAAAAAGAAGCTCTCAAGAGTTAACGAATCTTGCAGAATGCAAGCACAAAGATATATGAAATAGGGCACCTCTTCAGAGCTGATGTTTTAGACTTCATTTCTAATAATTTGCTGTGACGGGAAATCTTCTGGCTATTTTCTGAGCATAGCTGGTCGTGCTGTGGTCTAAATGTGTTTAGGACTGAAAATAGGGTGCTGCTGTGCATTTTATATAAACAGACTTTTGRTAAGAGCACTTGCCTAAGCTAAAGCTGTTAACCTGTATGTTTTGCTTCCCTTRTTTTTCTCTACTAAGCTGGCTATAGGCAAAGCAGCTGGATGAAGCAGTGACACTCACATAACACAATTCAAGAGCCATTGTCTTAAGAATACATGCGGTTTTGGCTGGGAGTGAGTGAGCAGCTCTGTGGTGCTTAGTKGCCAGTTGGGGTTAAACGATGGTTGAAGAAAATATAAACCTGTAGATTTGTGCTGTTGTTGCTGACTAGGAAGGGAGGATCATGTTATGGGATTCCATCTGGAATGGGGTAATCTAGTTTCTCTTGAAAGGTTTGAGAGAAGTTTGAAGGAAAAGGATTTTACATCTAACCAGTAAAATATTACTATGTTCCTGCACAGCTTTTTTTTTCCATTTTTGCATGAAGAAATTTGATTTGACATGCATTACAACCCAGACTGTATTCTAGTCAGAGTTATATTATAGAATCCTTATTTCAAAGTATGTGAAATGTCACACAAGGTGATTGCATGAACAGGGTTGGGTGGAATTYAGCTCCACAGTAAGGTGCCTAAATGTGTGGTTTATATGCAAGAGCTGGATTTCTTAAACTCTTACTGCAATCTTTGGAGATATACTCAGTATAGTGGAGCCTAGGGAGTAGGTATCCAGTTTGCCCTAAGACCTAGTGACTGGTCACCTGAATTGCTCTTAGAGATTGCTTGGCTAGTCCTCTATGAATGGCAAAACCTGAAGCTTAGGTTAGATCTAAATCTAACCTACAGTTAGATTGCAGCACTTGGGTGCCTGAATCGTGAAGTGGTATTCTCTCTGCATGTTGTTTTGTAATACACTGGTGAAGTTTGTTGCTTAGAGATGAGAAAAATAAATGTGTAGTAAGGTAGGCCACTGATAAAATTAAGGTAAATTGAGCCCTAAATAGCATCTTATGAGACCTAAGCAACTTAGGCTGTGAGGTTTCCAGTGTATTGTGTAGGTAGTATGAATTCTGCCACATATATATGTATGTGCATAAAGATATGTATATATATGTATATGCAAGCTCTTTTCATARCAGAAAGAAACAAGTACCTCTGCTAGGCAGTTTATTTCAGCAATTTTAAATACCTCCTCTGGATAAAAGATATATACTAGCATTAAATGCTTTTATTTTAATGTTTGTTTGCATCTTACTGAATTTTCTTTTTATTAAAAGACACACATGTGAATAACTATGAAATATAAAGCACTGGAATATCTGAGTAGGMGTTAATGAATCATCACTTTGACCATGTTAGCTGTTCCTCAAATGATCTCTCTACCTCAATAGAAATTAAARTACATYTGTTTTGTGGTGCTAATTAGAGTTTTGTTAAAAACATGACCTAGGAATGAGAAGAGAATTTAGTAAGCTAACRTCTGATTTTGTTGATCTTGAGGTAACACAATTTAATGCTATCTTTCAGTAAAGGCAGTTGGAGAAATCACATATTTTTCTAGTGTCTGTACAGGAGTTTAGTGTTAATTCACTTGTGCTCATTGGAAGGTTGTTCTGATTGTTAGGAAGATTATTCTAAGTATGGTGACCTCAATGATATATTTTATGGCGCAGCCACACAAGCAGCTGTATCTCTGTAAAAGAGGAGTTTGACAACTCCATGCCTCCTTTTGGGAAGRAAGTCAGTGGCTAGGTGCAGAAATACCCTAAATGGCTTTAACAGAGACGTGTCCTTCTGTCAGGATCCAGAGGGTGGTGCTTGTCTGAGCATGATCTGTTTGGCYGTTTGGTTATAAATACACTGATAATAAATTGCTCAGGAGACTTGGCACATTTAATAATATCACATTTTCATACCAACTTTTTCAAAAGAATCAATTGYGCATTAAAATACACATAGCCAATAGTACAGTAGACAATAATTGGCATTTTACTTTGCACTTACATTTATGATTATTCGAACAATTTTAATTAAGTAGTTTTAAAAAATTTAAACATACTGAAATTTGTGTTTACCTATGGTATGKTAAATAATCTCAGTCAAATTATCTTTAACAATATGTGTGGTAAACCCACACTATAAGTAGCTTATATATGTCACCAGTGCATTAACAAGTGGAGCATTTAGGTAGAACTTAATTAGTAGATTTGTCCTCAAATCTGTAGAACAATCTGTTGGAAGTATGAAAATTCGAACATAGAAGAGATACAAATATAAAATGAGATGTCTTTCTAGCATAGCATAATGCTGTTTTAAGGGTTAAACAGAAGAATACAGACCAATTAGGTGTCTGAAGACAAAGTAATTTTATCTTCAGTTAAATTTACCAAAGTTCTTTTAACAAGAGTTCTTCTCAATTTGTTGTGTGGTTTGTTGCAGAATATATAGTTCTGTCATCTAAATATGTAGCCTAATTAACTAATAGTTTTATTTATTTAGCCCGAGTGTTGGCTAGGACTCAGTGCTGCTTTAGACAGATGTTGCTAGAGACAAAAAATTATAAAAGACTGCATCCACTGGAATTGCTACATTTCTTTTGTCGCAGTCTGAGAGGGACAGACTGACAGACAGCTGTGCTCACACAGGCTGGCACATCTGACGAACAGGAAGTATCAACTGTGGGCAAAGTACAGCCTGAAAGCACAGCATCTCAGCAACCTGCTGCAGTACCCCTGAAGGGCCCTTGCTGGGCCTATGTGACACATCACTGTGGAGCTGTTAGAGGTGCAAATGTATTCTCTGAGAGGCAGGCTGCCAAAAGGGGGGCACATAACCAGAGGAAAATGTTATGTACATCTTCATTTCTGAAAGTATCTTCTTCATGAAAGATACAAGGCAAGGTAGATTTTTTTAATTTTCTTTTTTTTTAATCATGGAAGCTTTTTTGTAAGAATAAAATGTCATATAACTGTTCTTTTGAGCAAATATTTTCTGGAGGATTAGAAAGGTTGAATGCAGTTTCCTTTGCCATTGTTGGTGACTCTAACCCATTTTCTGTTTGGAAAACTATTCCTTGCTGAGTAAAGTACAAGGAGATCTTTTCTGCCAAAGGGTTATTTTTGCCAAAGCTTTATCTTATTAACTAGTGGGCTTGTCCATTCTCCTACAGCCTTTGATTTTTCAGTTGAATAGCTACTGACTAATTCAGGTGATAGGTTTATCAGAGCTTGCATTTATCAGTTATAAAACTTAAGCAGACTAGCATGTTTTGCAGAGTGCCTGCTCAATCCTGCTGTTCATAAACACACATTTGAAAACTACATGTTTAGGGTTTGCTTTTYCCCTTTATTTAAAGCTGGATTTTACTCCTTAAAGCATACACTGAACAYCTGGATGTTTTCTTCAAATTTTCATAGCGATAGAAAGATAAGGTATTGCTGCATATGAATATAGGTTGCAGAGTATGGAATAAAAAGACTACTATTTAAGATGGGAACCATGCACTTTGTATTATATTGTTAATATACTTAAAACAAAAAAACTTGCTTACAGAAGCCAGCATTCATCATTTCAGTAAGCTGCAAATGTTGAGCCTGTTCAATATTCTTTAARTCAGTTTCATAGTATTACTCCTATATATCTGATGATTGCATTTTGATGATTTTAGTTTTTTATGTTTGGCATTTTTCATTGCCTAAATGTTGTGTTTTGAACTTCTAATATTGGTTGTTTTTTATTTTATTTTAAGGTGTGACTGTACAGAAAAATTACAGAGTAAGTTTGACTTCTTGCGGTCACAGTTGAATGACATTTCATCCTTTAAGAATATCTACAGATATGCCTTTGATTTTGCAAGGGTAAGACTGCTGAAATATTAGACAAGTTTTTACTTTTATTTGTTCAGCAAGCTTGTACWTGACTGGTTTCTCTGCTTTCTTTATTCAATCTTAGGAAAAAGACCAACGAAGTCTTGATATTGATACTGCAAAGTCCATGTTAGCTCTTCTGCTTGGAAGAACCTGGCCACTGTTTTCAGTATTTTATCAATACCTGGAGGTATAATTCTGATTTCCTTGACTTTGTGAATGATGACATGGTAGTTGAGCTGTTCTGTGAAATGATGGTGTTTGTGTTGTTTTTCTCAAGAATGTATCCATATGGCTCCCTTTCCCTTGCTTAAATGTGCTTATGAAATATCGATGTTCTTGTATGGATTAGAGATGTTTATCTTCCCAGAGATGCGCCCCATGCCCCTTCTCTTATCAAAGGCAGCTAAAATTCCACTTTAATTATACTGTAAAAATTAATTTATAATTAAATAGTAGAGCCTCATTAGTCTCTTCAGCTGTGTCTGTGCTGCATTTCAGATTTGCTTTGTGCAGATACATTGTGTAGGTACCTTGATTTCTGGCTGTGTCTGGAAAACTTTGGTCAGCTCAGCTGCAAGTGACTGGTTAAAGTAAATTTGTGTAGATTGTGGACCACATTAGGCTTGAGACAATTCCCTGGCTTCAAAACACTGCTAACATTGCAAAGTAGATGTCCTTGTAATCATGGTGTATGGTACCCTGGAGAAAAGATTTTTTTAAATAGTTCATTCTGGAAATATATCTGAGCTAGATATGCCCAGCTTCAGGGCAAGGCAAAAGWATACCAGTTTTCAAAGCTTGGAGTGGTGGCTTCCTGATCTCCATGTGTTTGGATTCTGCACTGATTTTTGGGAATCATTTTATGTAGTTCCATAACTGTGAAATGTGTTCATGTGTAGTGTTTTWAAAAATGAAAAATTAAGTAAATAACAGCCATTGTTGCCCGTTAAATTGTTTGTTAGGATCTGATTGAAGATAAAATGAGATAAATGAGATGCAGCAGTACTAAATGCCACTTGACATTTTAATCTTTTAAAATTATTTTTCCTAGCAATCGAAATACAGAGTTATGAACAAGGATCAGTGGTACAATGTACTAGAGTTCAGCAGGACTGTCCATGCCGATCTTAGCAACTATGATGAAGATGGCGCATGTAAGTATTGACGTTTTGCTTATTCAAATATTAGCAGAGAATTTTAAAATTATGTAAAACAAATTTCTATAACAGAAACAATACTGTAAGGTATAAAATATTTCTTCTCCAACAATGTATAGAAAAACAGCCCTGACAACAATCCATCTTCAAACCACAGATATTGTTGTTAATTGTTAACTGTATGACAGGCATAGTGTGTCATAGTATGATRGTATACTTGAGCCAGCTTGTATTCAGTGAGGGTCTAGTGAAGGGGCTTGCTACATGAAACTGTATTTGTAAGTAGAATGGTAAAGAGCAAACTCTCATTTTGTACTAGTATATGACAAACTCTARCTTAATTTTTGCCTGCCTGCTGGTACTTGCAGCTGAACTCTCCACCTGGCTGGTAGTCAGTCATGCTGTGACTGAATTGCCTGAGTCTCATTTTGACCCATGTTCTACTTATTCACAATTTTGAAAGGTTTAGGAAAAAGGAATTAGCTGTATTGCTTTACAACATAAGATTATTTTTATGTTTTCCATTCAGTTCACTCTTCAGATATCAGGAACACTTTTTTSCGTAATTCCATGTAGTGTTTTTTGTGCACTATTTGTCATTCTTTGATTGGAATCATCATACTAATTTATGAGTATTTTACCATAGGATTGACATGGATGTTTCGTAGATGAGTAGTTCTAACCCTCATGCTTTGAGAGAAGATGTTGGAAAGACATTGGCAAATGTAACTCCAAGTTTTGTCCATTTGCAGGGCCTGTACTTCTGGATGAATTTGTTGAATGGCAGAAAGTTCGTCAAGCGTCATAGCAAGAATTCAAAAGAAAATGCAAAAGATTTTTTTGGTGCCCGCCTGTACACAACGTAATGAGAAAAGCAAAGGATTGCATTTTCATTCATAAGAAAGACTTTACTGTAATTTTTTTTTTCCTTTTTTAAGGAAACTTTCTTGTTACATGTGATATGGGCATTGAACCACACTTCTTCTGAGACTGAAAGTTGGAGTTCTTGTTTTGAGTCTTATGTTTATAGCATTTATTTCAGAACAATAAAGATTCAGATTTGTGACAAAGGCCTAAAAGTGAAGGATGTCCCTTGAATGTGAGTGTGGTGTCTATTTTTAAAACCAAATCTATAGGATTATCTTTCTCAGAAGTGCTCTTTGCTACGAATTTTTGAAGACCTTAAAAATGCTTAATTGGCACTGTTGCTTGCTGTTGGTATGATTGTCTTGTGTGGCAGATGTTAGAAAGAATGGCTGATTTTGGAAGCCCTGGGTGGGAGTGCGCTAATTTGCATAGTTAGTATTGGTCATGGGTTGTGCCACAGCTTTCAGCTCCTTGTGGAGATAAAGGCCTTAAACTCCTACTACTGTTTCTTATTTCTTTGTTTATTCCCCACCCAGTGGCATGGCATTTAATGGCAGGCCCTTTCAAAGCAGACAGGTTTGGAGCAAATGGCTCTATGTGCAGAATGGCTGAAAACTAGTTGCCTGTACTTCAGATGCTGAACACAGATACTCCTTGGTACACCAAGGCAGCTTCAGATTTTTATTGCTATTTAGATTTTTGGATTGCTTTGTGTAAAAGTGCAATTTCTATTTTAAAAGGGAAAGCTGGGAAGAGTTTGTTTCAAGCTTTGCTTCTTTGTTTTAGACTGGAGGCACTCATAACAAGACTTTTTTCTTCCCTGAAAAATTTTCACAAGTAAATCAAGAAGCAACTATTTCATCGCCTACCTTTGACCAAGTAACARGCTGGATGTAACACAATATTGCCATCCTGTTACTCTGTGTTTTGAATCCAGTAACTACTGTGATGGCCATTTTAGGTATTCAGTATTCATGACAACTTTTAAATGCAATGGAAGTTTCTCACTCTGCCTTCCTGCCCAGGAGRCCCAATGCCCCCCTTGAGAAGGAAAGGGATTTCGATCAGTAAATGTGAAAAACCAAACCAGAATGAGTGAATGAAGCATTTGCAACTTCTACTTAATTATATAAATGTGTAATATAGRCTGTGATAATGCCAGGAGACTCAGTCAGTGATCAAGGCCTCAGTGTGCCAAATGTTTCAACAGGTGAAATAAGAATAGACAATGTAAACTAGGCATGACTTGAAGATCTTTGCCTCAGGGAAATTACTTCTGTTTTGCACATCCCTTAATCAGACTAACAAGCATGAGTTTTTGTGTCATTAGGGAAAGCTGTATTCCCAAGATGATTTTTTTTTTTTTTAAGAATGAGGGTGCGGAAGAAAAAAAAAATGTGTTAGAAGAAATAAGAAGGGGTACCATTGCTTGCTGTGGGCTGCAGGAAGCAGCGCAATGGTGGGCCATGGGCTGTTCTACAAGTCACCTTGAACCTTAGAAGCTTGCTTTCCCCCAAGTGAATAAAAAGCACTGGAGAAAAAAAAACAAGTGTTGGAAGCTCTCTGCTTGTACAATGCCTAGTGTCTGTGTGCAWGTAAACAGATGCACTACAGTTGTTCTGAGTATTTTTTCACCTATTTTAYAGGAAATACCTAATTTTAGGCCTTGAGTAATCTGTGGAATTTCTCTTCAATACAAATGGTCCATTTACATTGCTGATAATTCTGATTTCACTCATAACAGAGTGCCTTTCATTTGAAAATTGCCCTACTTCACAGAAGGCTTGTGCCAGAATGAGATTAATTTCAAGAGTTCTAAGTTCTACTGGTACAGTAAGGTCCTAAGATGCACAGATAAACGTGCACCACGTAACTGATATCAAGGGAAGTACTGCTGTATACTAAATYTCTTCAGGGATGGTGATTCTGAAATGACTTTCAAATTTGCTACAATGACTCTCCTTATGTACTGTGTTTAGTGCCCACTGGGTTGTTCTCTTTCCGAAAGTTTTGAAATACTGGTCAGAAGAGAATCTTTTATAGCGTGATTTTAAAAATCACCACTCTTAGGTAACTGCAAACTGTTGTGAATTTGATTTAAACCATTTGGTCCTAGAGGATGGTATTAGAGTATAAGAGTAGGAGTGATGCACTTACCAATCTGAGGTGGTCAAGTACTTGCCATTAAGGTGTAAGATGCTATGTGATGTATCATTTGTATCTCTGTTAAGGTTTTATCAGTATTCCTATAATAAATCCATGTTTCAGGGATTTACAAAGTGGTTGTGTGTGTGATTGAAAATCAGTGGTTACTGTAAAACTTTCACTGGGGATGAATGTATTTAAACTAGTTAAAATCAATATAGTTTTCCAAATTCGAATAAAATAGAATTTTAATTTCCATTTTTTGCTCAAAACTGCAATCAGGTGTATTGTTTCAATGTGGATTAATGGCTTATACAGTTTCATTGTGAACCAATCACATTTATTAGCTATTATTGCATCACCTTACAGCTTACTGTGAATAAGTGCCAATAGCTCTTAACTTGGTTGAGTTTTGTTGTGTTTTGACTTTATGCATTTCCACAAGCCAAAATATGAGTTCTGCTAAATGCTTTCTTTAGTCTTTGAACCTTAATTTTTGTTTTGCTCAGGTGTATTTCAGTCTATTGAATTTTTTAAAAAAAGTTATACCTTGTCTTTCAGTGTTCTCAGATACTTCACAGGTGAAATACACTTGCACAGTATGATGAATAATTAAATTGAAGGTGAAATGTCTTCCAAAATGAAATCATAGTGGAGTCTATCTTAATACTATAATTTTTACATTAATCTCACTTTCATTTTCTAGATATTAATTCTTCCTAACATAATAATTACTTCTTAGTAATTAGTCATTTTTCTTAGACAACTGACAGTTTCAATTTAAAGTCTGAAAACACCCACCCACATAGAAAAAGCCATAGTGGAACATCAGAATGTAGTATTTCTCCTGTGTAAAAATGTGATCTTGAATTAAACCRTTGTGTATGTTTACCTGTGTCTTTAACTGTACATGTAGTTTCAATCCAATTTTTCTTTCCTATTTAAATTAGCGTCTTAAATTCTTTCCTAATGGCTGTAATTTTACATTTCTATACAGTGGGCTGTATTTGGCTTTTGAGATGACCATGGACATCAGTCTGGTACCTGTCTTGGATAGCCTGAATGAGGGCCCTATAGTCTCTGTGGCCTTTGTTCAGGACTTCTTTTGTATCTGACAAAAGCTGTGAGTTGATATATTGATACTGACTGCACAAAAATTGCAACAGGGACCATAAGGTTTATGTTTCTGCTGTTTTGTTCATTTTTTGAGCTAGTGAATAGTTCCTTCAATGCAATATGTACAAACTTGTATAGGTTTAGCTTTGTTAAGTATGATGAATAAAATGGTATGTAATAGGGCAGAAAACTTTTCTTTTGGTCATGCTGCCTCTTAGTTTTTCCTTTTGTGTTTTTGTGTGCGTGTGACTTCTTTAAATCACTGAGACAGAACTTAATTCCAGCAAGATGGACATCAATCTAATTGCTAAGCTAACCTTATTGAAGAATTTCTTTGCTTCTGAGTGTTGATGCAAGAAATAGAACTTTATCTGTTCTGAGAGTAGCAGCAAACACTGCTCTTGATTATATCCCAAGTTATGTGCTGATARCACATAGTGATCTTGGAAATTAACTGTCACTAATTGTTCATGGAGTGAACACTCTTCCAACAACCTGTTGTGGAGCATGTGAATGAAGAGGGAATGAGCTTTTCTGTCTCCCCCAGCTGTTTCCCTTCACTCTCCTCCAGCATATCTTTTGGGTCACTTGTCTGCTTTTAGGAAAGGACTTGGTGTTTCCTAATGTACTCTTCCATAGGATCTTTCAGAGCCCATTACAGAAAGGATCAAAGACAGCATCCTGTTTTGTTCAAGTTTATGATACCATTTTCCTTGCAGATGCAGCTTGGTTCACTCTTGGCATTTCCTAGTTGTTGAAGTCTGATKCCATACATGCTCCAGGACAGTCTTCCATCAGTCTCTCAGACTTGAAGCAATRCCTGTTGTCTCCATGGTTTTGCTTTATCTTGTTTCTCACAATGACATTCCTGATGCCTTSCTAAGTCAGTAGGAGTTTAGTGGTGTATGCACAGCAGGCATCTCTTATTTACAAGTGATGGCAAGAGTTCTGTTACTYCTTTACCCTTCTGTATTATTATTCTTCCTGTATTTCTTCTGTCTCTGTGAGAAAGGGCACTGAAGTAATAGGTAGGCATATTAAAGATTGAACATGCACTGCAACATTTTGTAGCCTGTGTTACCTTTGTTTTCATTTTAARCAGGTGAGCCACCAAAATGAAATCAGTTTCTTAGATTTGTGTATCATGTCATCTGGATTCTAAACTTTAATCTTGTTCCTGTTTTTGTCCTAGTTAATCAGAGTATGATACTCTCYACATGTTTGAACCTCCTTAGCTTTYTCCCCTGAATAGTGACCATAATAACAGTAACAGAAGATGCAAATTACTGAATCTATTTTATAGGCCTTAGAYTGGACAGGTCTTAATGAGCCAAATACTATTTCTTTAATCCCAGGTTGGTTCCAATGTATTTCTATTGAATGACTGACTATTTTATAAGCTATTAAAATGTTATGGTTGTGTTCTGTTTCTATAGAAAATGCATATTGATGAAGATGCTTTAAAAACATAAAGTTTTTTAGCTTCTTAAATTTAAACTTCTTCCCTAAATTTGACAATTAAAGAGAAAAAAAAAATCTCTGTTTCAGGGATTTGTCCATGTATGTATTTTTGTCAGCTCTGTAGTGAATTAGTGCTGGTAATAAAATACAGGTATTTTTGGTTGATTTCAATTCTAGCTAAAATACGTCATTTTTTTCCTTAGTGTTTCCAGAATTACTTTGTTTACTTTCACTGTTCATTTTATGTTAGTAAATTAAAGGCCTACAACAAAAAACTGCTAGTTAGCTGAATTTTTTTCTAATAATAGCACTAAGGTCAGTCTTTTTTATTCTTTTAAGTAGTCGATTATTTCAGAAAGGTTTATTGTGTTTATTATAATAATTATCATAAATTGAAATRTTAGATGTGGCATCTAGCCTGCTAACTATCATAGGCTTAATGTGAAGTTACTTTAGCATTCAAAATCAGTTGATTTTAAATCAGTTTTTCTAATGAAAAAAGAAATAGTATCCTATGATGTAATGTCTCTCAATAATTAAAACTTACAAGGAAATATGATAAACTTTAACAGCTATATATTTCGTCCTCATCTAACTGCTCAACATATGTCAATTTGAGCATAGACAAAATGTTAAAACACGCCTGAAATAAATCATGATTAATCCATGAAAAATGTAATCACTTTAATTTTTTTCATATTACAAAGATTTTAGTTACATAAAAAATAGGCTTCTCTCCATATCTTGCACTTTCCCCTGTGTTTCCATGGTTCCCTGTTTCAGCCTTGTAGCTTGTATACATGCATACACATTTTTATATATAAAAATAAATATATAAAGGTTTCCCGTCTAGTGTTCAATGTGGTGGAAACTCCAGAAAGATTTTGAAACTGAAAGGATAATTAGAAAGGAGGCTCTATTCTCCTCAACTTTCCTATATCATATATACTTCCTTGGGACTATAGAAGTGGCTGGTCACTTTTCTGTCCTTTGCAAATCTCCCTTGATGATGTTTTTTTTTGCATTTGAGTGATTCTGTCCTAGGAACCAGTTAAAAGTTTTGATAGTGAAATGCTATGCCCTTCCTGAATCTTCAGAAGGCTTATTCCAGACCCAGTGACTGACTTTTTATGGTTTGGGGTTGGTTTGTTGGGGGTTTTTCCCCTTGATGTGGTGATTGCTGGCTTAGAGAATGCATATTCTATTGTAGAAAAATGTCAGTGTTCATGGGAAGACAGTAATTATTACTGACACTTGAGTGAACCACCAGAGTGTTTGTGTGCCAAGGCCTACCCTTTGCCAATGTTTCAGACTTTTCTTTATTTCTAATTTGTTCATGGGACTGTGATTTTAGGTTGTGTGTGGATTCACACAATAATCTTACTGTGCCTATGCTGTACAGCTGAGTCTATGCTGTACTGAAATTCATAACAATGTATCATTCTTAAATGCAAAGCTTATGACTTTAAGGATGTAGCGTGTTACAGTTTGTGGAGCTTTTTCACATCATTTTGCAACATAACGAGTGTGCTGCTTTGCTTAGTGGAAAAACACTGGTTTCTGAAGTCATGGGGAAGCATCTGAAGTGTCAGGAGCTATTTGTAAGCAGTGAATAAGCTTCAAAACAGAGCTTAATGTGCTATTTCATTTGATGCTCATTTTGTTTTCCTGAAGGGTCCCTG